ATTAAAGACGATGTTCTTCGGAAAGAGTAACAGACACTATTTATTTTTTGTTTTTTAGTTTTAATATGATCACTAAAGTTTAAGGAGTAATTTAATGTCAAACCTAAGTATTTTGCACTATATACTTGTTTAAGTATTTTGTTGTTAAGTTTAGAGTATACATATCACAGTTTATTTTATTTTTAATTACTAGATAGTTTCACTTCTCTTCAATTACCTTGTTCATTTCGCTCCATAAGCTGATTAGCACCAGATCCTTCTGTGCTTGTTTAAATAATAAAATATATAAAAAGACCTGTGTATTTGCAAATAACACCATGTTTCCTTTAATATCACATTTTGTTAAATCGTTTATATAAGTATATAAATAAATAGTATAAGTATATTGCGCACGATTTGTTAGGTAACTGGTAAAAATTTTGTAACTTCTTTCTACAACACCAATACATTTTAATTTTGCTAGCAGAATTTCATGGTTCATCGAAGGCTTTGCATAGGTCCAAGAACACGGCTAATACAGTATTTTTATCCTCAACATTTTGATAGATATACTCTGTGAGGTTAGCAATAGCTGTTTGGGTGCTCTTCCTCTGCTAAAAACCATTTTGTTTAGAACTTATAAACTTTATCTTCAGCAGGAAGTCAAGAAGCCTTTTGTGAAGAACTATTTTAAATATTTAAAAAAAAACGGACAGGACAGGTATGGGTCTATAGTTACCTAACTCAGTTTTTTTGCCCTTTTTGTGCACTGGTGTTACCTTACTAGCGTATAGAAGCCAACCCGACTCGCTATGCTTACACATGCGCAAGCAAAGGTGCGAACATTTTTAGTGTATTTATTCTGTTTTTGGTAGGTATATGCTTTGGTTGTTTTAAAGAAAATACACTTTTAAAAATTTAAATAAAAAAAGGAAATTGAAACTACTTATATTTATTAGATGTAAGTACTTATAAGTATTTTTTTTATGAGCTGTGTAAGGGAGATGTAAATAACCAATGGAAAATCTTCATAATAGTTATTTATGTCATTAGGTTAAGAAGTAAGGCTTTTTGTGCTAAGCTCAAAGTTTGAAGGCCGACCGTAGCGGAGGCCTACAATTGAGCGAAGCACAAAAAGACACTTCTTGGCCGAATGGCATACAACATTTTATCTTCAAAGCACTTTATATAGGTCAATTTAATTCAACATCAAAGAGGCCTAACCTCAGTTTTTTAGAATATCATTTATTTATTAGCTAAAGATTACATTAAATGTACAATAATTATTGCTTTTAGAAGCAGTAATAGTTTGACAATAACTAGCTACATGATTTAAGTAGAAATGGATTTTTGTAAGAAAATTGTTTACTTACCCTCTTGCTATTATATTGAATTCAATTAATTGTTTAATAAAGAAGTATCTAATTTCAATATGTTTGCATTTTTATTTAAAAAATAGGTAGCTTGGAATGTTTAAGCTGTGTTTAACATTTAATTTCACTGAAAACTTAAAGCAAATTAAAACTAATTAAAAGATAATTTAAATCGTTTTCTTGGTTGCCTAAAGTATGATACCAATGTTATCGTACTATTAGTTGCCTAAGATTGTAAATTTCAATTATTACATTTTTTAATTTATTAACAAATTAACAAAAACTACACTAATTTATTTATTAAAGGTTACATTAAAGGTACAATTAGTAAAACTAAAATTTGTTATAAATCCAGAAGTGGCCAAAGTGTTTTCCACTGTATTAATATTTGTATCACTATTTCACATTTCTTCATCTAATATCACATCATAGTCATTTGAAATATAATCTCTAGCAGAAGTTGCAGCAGTAAGCCAACAAAACACTTTCAGAAAAGATCACTGCCTTTTGCTCTTCTAAAAAATGCTGATATGAATCTTTATATAATTGTTTCGATTTTTTAGGAATAACTGAATTAATAGCCGAATTGGCAAGTTCTGCCAGTTCAGGTGGTGTACACTGAATAGAAGAGCTATTTACATCCATTTTAGAAACGAGCTAAAACACAACTGTGAAATCCACAGAAACGTCAAATTGCAATGTCCTAACCACACTTTTTGTTTTATTATTCATATTTAATTTTACAATAATTTAATGAAAAATATTAAACATTAATAGTAAAACATACAAATTAGTGCTTATTATAAATAAATTAAACCAGTTTAGTACGTTAATTTCTTAGAAAAGGATTAATTTGTCAAAACAATACCCCTAGCGAGAAAAAATCGAACTAATTACTTGCCTCATAAAATTTTTTATCGGCCTAGGCCATAACAAGGTATTTCTTTATCGAATGTTGACAAAAATAAAGTTTAAATTATAGACCGCGTGGAGATAAATGTATTTACCTATAGTCCTCGTAAATCAGTTTTTCCCATTAAAAATTTTGTTAGGTAAGGGGGTAACAAAAAATGAGGTGTATAATGATCCAACAATAAGTCCATGTAAAAATAGATTGGATACTTTCAAGTAAATATAATTCTTAGTAGGTATAGGCAACCAAACTGCTCAAAAATTGATAAGGAATTTTTAATATAACATATATAAGCAAAAAACTCGACGGAAAATATAAATTATTCTGATCAATATGAATTGTTATACTTTCACAGAAAATATGTTTACAATTTGAAAAATCAGATTTTATGTTCAATTTAACATTATAAATGTTTTATTAAAAATTCCTTATCAACTTTTGAGCAGTTTATAATTTATATAATGACACAAAATAAGAGCATGATACCCTTGTTATAAATAAGAAAAAATACTCAATCTGATGGAATATCTATAAAATGGGTTATCAATAATAATGTAGAGGAATTTTTCAAGAAAAACGAATATTTAAAGTATTATTTAAATGTTTAATATTATCAGAAATAATAATAAAATAATAATATAGAAATTTATGCATAAACATTTAACAAATATTTATTCACAGGAAATAATACAAATTCTACCTATAAAAGTTGTCTATTCTATTCTAGATATTTGTCCTGAAAGAAAAATAATTAGGTAGTGAAGTTATATTTGATTTTTTTTAAAGCAGTCTAGGTTTTGCATTTTTAACTTTTTAACAATTTTTCTTTATTTTTCTTTCGCCTTTTAACCTTTTGGAAAAAACGGACCTAAGGCTTAATCTTCTTGTTTGGGGGTGCTTTTTTAGCGTTCTTCAGTAATTCTTTACTGGATGAAGTTTAAGCATTCACACTGCCAAAGTTATTGCTGTGATACCACTAGAACTTTCTAGAGCTTCACATAACTTTGCAATGTTTTAAAGTTGTTTACTCTCTTCTACTTTGTGGTTCTTCATTTTAGGCCTTAATTGATCAGATATAAAATCATGCTCAATATTAGAAGGATCATTTTCAGAACTTTCATCTATTATTAAGGTGTTGTAATTATGATCCAGCTCTGTATCTGCACAAATGTTTGTATTTACTGTAGGAAACTTAATAAAAACTAAATAAAAATGTTTTCTGTATTGCATAATCATGACAGCTGCAGGTGAAAGGGTGAATGCAGTCATTGCATACAAAGTCACAGCTGCAATTTTTTCTAGCTTTATCATTTAATATTACATTATAAAATTCTAATAATGAATTGGCATTCACTTTTTTTGAGGAAGCAACAATAAATGGTTTTGTACATTTTTAAAAACATCTGTGTTACTTGCTATTTCAGTAGCTAATTTGTGTCTTTTTCTTAATTCGCTAAGTTTGTGGGGAACTATACTACCGGAAATTGACACCAATCTTCTTAAAAATTTGTTACGAAGACATTCATTAACGTTATTTACGCTCAAGTCTAATCGCTGTTAAAATTTTCCACCAACTGAGGAGTTATATTTCAGTTCTTGATGCCATTTTTCAAGTGACATATTTGTATTTTTTCTAAAATATTTTCTATAACAGTGTAGGTCTCTTAGCATAGTATGTAGCAAAATATTCCCAATAATTTTTAGTCAAAGGGTCTATCAGGTTTCCAAATATTATTCATGCACTTTGGTGAACGTGGTTTAATCCAACTCATTTATTAGCAGTTTTAGTTGTTTCTTTACTTCTTTTCTCCTTTGCATACCAGGTATTTTTGATAGGTTTTCAAACAGTAAATGTAATTAGAGAAAGCATTGTAAAAAGCATTAACAGAAACAAATACATTTGGGCTTAGACTAGACACTTGAATTAATTAAAGCAAAAACAAAATCTAAAAATCGTTTCTGCTAAATGTGATCAGCTGTATCTGATAGGGGTTAGTGCCATGAGTGGAGTCTATCATAATTACATTACTACTGTACATTTTTAACATATCTTCTTCTCCTCCATTCATAAAAACTAAGAAAAAGTTGTTTTACCCAATATCTTTATCAGCTGCGCCATATGGTTTATATGCCAACATTGGATTTTCGGTTGAATCTTGATATTTTTGGACTAGTATGTCAATACTCTTTGCGTCATCTCTGTAAATTATAACGTCAGCTTGAACAATAAATTCTTCTAATTTTTTAAATTATGCAAGTCATCGTTTGTAGTGTAACTAATACCGCGATCTGGATCAAATAAATTTCCTAAATCTTTTAATATTCTTTAGTTGGGTATACCTACAAATTATTTAAGGCACATTACATACCCTGGGCATCTTTTAAATTAATTTAGTGAATAAAATACCCGAACGATCTATATTCTAAATATTGATTTGGCTAATAAAAGATCGTATTAATATGAAATATGCATTTTAACCTAAAATATATATATATATATATATAATATTTACAAAAGTAACTAAATATATAGACTGCTATGCCCGTATTATCGGCATCCTAAAATAAATTCATGTTCTAGTTATCGGCACTTACATGATCCTTTTATCGGCACAGAATTAGAAACCCAAATTTTAATACTTAACTAAGTAAGTATCTAGTTACTAATGAAATATGTTAAAATGTATTTAATAAATATTGATTCAAAATATATATAATATTTTTTTTTAATGGGGTCAATTTTGACAATTCTTTCCTAAATTTGAATTTCTCTTGATTTTAGAATCTGATTTAATTTTAGGCGTTGGTGTATTTCCCATTTGTTGAAAGTTTGGTTCCAAAAGTGAAGACTTTTCTACATGTACGTCATGTTGAGCTTTGTCGGGTGTATTTGAAATTATGATGGGAATATCTGCAGCGATGCCCACGGAGAGAGATACATTTGCACAGTCGATAATTTCTGTAATATCAATTTTATTGTAATTATTTGCTTTCTCAACAAATGTGTCTTTGGCAATTAAGTCTTCTTGGAGTTCATTATCTAATTGTAATTGATCATTTATTAGTTTGTCATAATCGTCGATTCCTGTGATATCCATTTCGTGAATTTCTGCATCTGTATATATATTTTCTACTAAAGTTTCTAATATATAACTGGATAAAAACCAAACACTGTTTCATTGAATATCATTTTCCCTTGTTCTTTTTCAGCAAACCCTATTGCATTGTTGTTATTTACTGTATTGGTCTTTATTTTCTTCCAGACTAAAAATAGGCTGGTGTGCTCTATTGGTCCTTCCCAAGCTGGCCCGGAAACTGAAACAATGTAAGAGTCTCTTTTGGGACGTATTGTGTGTCGTACCTAGGCTGGTTATGGCCTTAAGTACTCCACCAAGGTTTCTCTCCATTTGACTCTCCAGATATAGAGGAATACCTACCTCGGGTTGCTTTTATTCAGTGGAGAAAGTAGGGTTTAAAAGAATCAGTTAGGGTTGATGGTTTAATTTAAAATGCAAAAATAACTTAAACTGGTTTATTTACCAAGGTTAAAATATGTACAAAATCATATTATAATTATATACAGGGTGTTCCTTAATATCATGTACAAACAAAAGGGGGTGATTCTTTGGCTTATTTTATGAATTAAAGTTCCTATAAACATGGGCCCGCAAACGCTTCGTTACCGATCCACAGGGTGTTAAAGTTTGGAGATTTTTTTAGTTTTTATCTTATAACTTCTGCAGTTTTTGAGATATTTGGCCCAAATTCGGAATATAGGTTAGGCTATAAGGCTTACATCATTGGGCATGCCAAATGGTTATAAGAATCTACAGGGCGATACTTTTTTGTATGTCATGCTCCCCTTTTTTCCCAAGAACTTTTTTATGGTGCGCTGCTGGTAGATTTTAAAATACAAAATAAATTTTCTGTTTTGTTTAAAAACTTTTTGGTAACCTAAAGTTTTTTCGTATTTGCGACCGTTATCGAGAAAAATATGTAGAACAAAATTTGTGAGATGAAATTCAAATTTTTAAAAGGGTCTGGTTGGCTTTATTAATAATAACTTATTTTTATTTATTTTAACAATTTATTCTACACTTCTTGTTAAAAACAAAATGCTCTTTGTTAAAATGATTTATTATAATACAAAAAACTTAAATATTTAGAAAAACAAGAAAACTACATTACAACAATTGTTGAAAGTGACCTCCTCCAATTCTCACACAAGCATCTGCTCTTCTTCTCATTGATGCCCTTACTCTTTCAAACACCCCCGGAGTATTTCTTACGGTTTCAAATGCTTCTACTATCCGATTTTGTAAGTCATTTATATTATTAACTGGTGTTGCATAGACTAAAGATTTGAGATGCCGCGATAGGAAAAAATCCAGGCTGTTTAGGTCAGGAGACCTAGGGGGCCATGGCTGAGGTCCACCCCGTCCTATCCACCTGTTTTCATATGCTACATTTAAATACTCCCGAGCCAAAATAGAAAAATGTGCTGGGGCGCCATCGTGCATATACCAAATACGGTTTCTTAGCAAAACAGGCAAATCTTCTATTAAAAAAGGCAATTCATGTTGAAGAAAATGCCTATATGACTGAGCATTAAGTCGATTAGGCAAAAAGAAAGGACCAATCAAATAATCCCCAATTATACCACCCCATACATTTAACGAGAACTGTTCTTGAAAATGCGTTTCTACAATTTCATGTGGATTTTCTTCAGCCCATATGTGGTTGTTATGAAAATTTATAATTAAGTCTCTAGAAAAGTTGGCTTCGTCGGTAAAAAGGATTTTACAGTCAAAATTAGGGTCTCTTGCTAGCCTGGCAAGGTACCATCGGCAGAAATTAAGCCTTAATGGGAAATCTCGAGGAAGGAGCGCCTGCACCCTTTGAATGTGGTAAGGGTATAGCAGAGAATCACGCAGGATACGCCAAACAACTTGATGACTAATGTTGAAATGTTCACTAATTTTTCTAGTGCTAGTATCTGGATGCTCTTCTATTTCATTTAAAACAGCTTCTTCAATCTGTGGTGTTCTTACCGTATATTGTCTACCTGCATCATTGGTATTCTTTTTAAAAGTTCCACTTTCTGCAAGACGCCTATGAATATTTGTGAATGTTCGATGATCGGGTATTATTCTATTATCGGGATAGCGCTCCATGTACAGGCGTGTAGCTTCTCTTGCATTTCCATCCGCAAGGCCATAGATGAAATGCATGTCAGCCATTTCAGAATTCGTATAATTTGGCATTGTTACGGACTGATAAGAAATTTAATTATAACGAGTCTTTTAAATAATTTTACACCTTGCAGTTTAAAACTTTAAATGCGTGCTGTCAATAGCATCGTTTTTAAAAATTTTTTTGATGTTGTAGACAGTGTGTTGTCTGTGATGTTGTATCCAATAGCTACATAAACCATTTTATTTCAGATTTGATATTTAATAAGTAGTGGCAGAAATGAATTCAAATCATGTTTAAAAGAGTACACCATTACAACAATTGTTGTAAGGTAATTTTCTAGTTTTTCTAAATATTTAAGTTTTTTGTATTAAAATAAATCATTGTAACCAAAACCGTTTTGTTTCTAATAAGAAGTATAGAAATATTATTTTAAAAATAAATAAAAATAAATTATTAATAAAGCCAACCAGATTATTTTAGAAATTTGAATTTCATCTCGCAAATGACAACAACTTGTGTTATATTTTTTTTCTCGATAATGGTTGCAGATACGAAAAAACTTTAGGTTACTAAAAAGTTTCTAAACAAAACAGAAAACTTATTTTGTATTTTAAAATCTACCAGCAGCGCACCATAAAAAAGTTCTTGGGAAAAAAGGGGAGCATGACATACAAAAAAGTATCGCCCTGTAGATTCTTATAACCATTTGGCATGCCCAATGATGTAAGCCTTATATCCCAACCTATATTCCGAATTTGGGCCAAATATCTCAAAAACTGCAGAAGTTATAAGATAAAAACTAAAAAAATCTCCAAACTTTAACACCCTGTAGATCGGTAACGAAGCGTTTGCGGGCCCATGTTTATAGGAACTTTTATTCATAAAATAAGCCAAAGAATCACCCCCTTTTGTTTGTACATGATATTAAGGAACACCCTGTATACAGTATTTACAAAAGTATCGTAGACTGTGAACTGGCAGGCACGGGTATGGTTTTCAGTCATACAAAGAGACAGAGCAGATTTATAATTGGACTCTAGGGGAAAATACATATTTTTAGGTTATGTTTTATGCATACAGGATTTACAGTTTAATTATCTGTTATTAAAGCTTAATATTATACGGCGTAAAGCCCTGACATATTAAAAACAGGTTAACTTACTGTTAATATTCCACTGAGAGTTCTCTGTGATTAATGTTGGTTTTCGGGCTCACAATTGGGGCCGTGCCGGTTTCTGGTAGTCCAACTCTTTCCTTGACGTCGGGTAGTTAGAAAAATCATTTCATAGATGTCGTAATGTGTATCGTTACATCCCCCCTAAAATCTTGTTTTCAGTTTTCTGAAAACAACGGTCTTGTACTGGATTAAAACTGGTTTCTGAAACTAAAAGAACTTTTTTAAAAACAAATAAAAAATTAAAACATTTTTTCGAAAAATTCTTCACGGCTCCCGGTTACGAGTCCTCTTCTGTGATTAGGGACTGGCTCATCGGGATTTTTAAATTATTTATATTTAATTATTACTATGTATATGCATTGCATATTATGCAATTTTAATTAAAAAAATGGTACAATTGATTTATATACGATCATTCATAGAATCTGTAACGTGTATAGAGAATAAAGAAAATAAAATTGCCTAAAAAGTTTAAATATCAGTATAGAATTAAAAAAAAATTATGTACAATTCCAAAAAATTATATACAATTAAAAAAATAATTATTACACATGATTCGTCTTTCTTTAAATTAAAGCAAACCAAATTTATGTCAAATATATCAAATAATTATTGAAAATAATGAAAACTTTACTAAATATCAAATTTATGAAGCGTACACTCAGAGAAATATCATGTCATGAAAAGCATATGAAATGATATTAATTTAAATAATCGGGTAAATTTGATTCAAATAGAAAAAAATGTAGTTTTATATTCATTTACCAACAGTTTTACAATGTTTTTAAACACTTTTAAAGTGTACTCTTTTTAAAATATATATACAAAAAGAAATCTATTTATTTCATTGCCTTTCTCAACGTTATTTTAAAAATATATGTATTATACAATTGTTATACACCTTTTAATTTAATGAGAAACACCAATGACGCCAAAACATATTTGAATCCCTTTGAATTATTAGGGATTCAAATATGTTTTGGCGTCATTGGTGTTTCCCATTAAATTAATAGGTGCATAACAATTGTACAATACATATCTTTTTAAAACAACTTTGAGAAAGGCAATGAAATAAATGGATTTCTTTTTGTATATATATTTTAAAGAGGGTACACTTTAAAAGTGTTTCAAAACATTGTAAAACTGTTGGTAAATGAATGTAAAACTAATTTTTTTTCTATTTGAATCAAATTTACCCGATTATTTAAATTAATATAATTTCATATGCTTTTCAAACTTGATATTTCTCTGAGTGTACGCATATTAAATGAGCTTAAATTCTAAAACCCTTACAGGTCTTTACACAATTCGTCGATTTTTTTAATAACTAGTTATCGTTCTTATTCAGCCGCAGATTTACAGCTTTCTTTGGCCACAGCTTCTATCGCAGGTCCCACTTCTCTTTCATAGCGTTTATACAAATCCTTTAAAATGCCTGGTAAATTAGTACAAGCTAAAACTTCATTCAAAGCTGTGCATCCAATTCCTGCATGTAAGGCACCTACAAAAATATAATTTTATTATTTTTATAATTCAAGTTTTACACTAATTCATTATAAAAACAATTAAAATAGAACAAAACATACCAAATACAACTTTAGTGTTTATATCTGCACGCTTGCTGTTATCCTTAGAAACATGAACTGTATCAACTAGATTTATTATACCACACTTTTTACATTTAATAGTAAACGTTGAATGGATTTCTCTTTTTATTTGTTTTAATGATAAATCATCCTCGCAAACTTTACATATTAAATTTTTAGCCAATATATCAACTGTAAGGTTAGGATTATCATTTTCTAACATTGCCTCCATTTTTTGTATACGACCCTTTTCTATTGAATGAATTAGTCGTACACGTTTTTCTAAAACTTTCTTTTTAATAAATCTCCCTTTATATCTAAAATCTTCAGACATTATTCGATTTATTGGAGACTGTTAAAAAAGTAAACACTAAACACTATGTATTTACGTATCGATCTATAATGTACAACGATTCAGTCTCCCTTTATATCTTTAATTTTCAGACATTATTCGATTTATTGGAGACTGTTAAAAAAGTAAATACTAAACACTATGTATTTACGTATCGATCTATACTGTACTACGATTCAGTCTCCAATATTGGTTGCGCATAAGCGACGTTGCCGGATTAAAACTTATGAAAATATGTGAAAGTATTACGTATAGGTAACGTCTCTAAGGATACAGTCTTGCGAAAAAATTATGAATCACTTAGCTACAAGCTCGTATACTTTTACGGTGCGTATAATCTAAATTTTTTTAACAATATTGTACCACGACAACTACCTTAATGGCTGCTTATCGTTGTTAACATCACCAGATATTACAATAAGAGGTGTTATTTTAATTTGTCAATAAACACAATTTTCTTTTAATGAAGCATGATATTTTTATTCCAAAATAAAGTTAAAACATTGCCATTAAACATGAAAAACATTATCTGTCAAATGACCTCCTCGGCGACTTTGGCAGGACACCATTATTTTACTAAAGTTTTGGATTAAATTTTGACATAAATTGATTTCAATTTCGCCAATAGCCTATTGAATATTTTCTTTTAAGTGTGGAATCGTTTGTGGATCGTTTGCGTAAACTTTGCTCTTTAAATAACACCAAAGAAAAAGTCTAGCGGCGTTGAGTCGCATGATTTCGGTGGCCAATTGATGTGGCCGTTTCGTGAGATAACACGAGCAGGAAATTTAGACCGCACTAAAGCGATTGTTTCAACCGCTGTGTGACATGTGGCTTTATCTTGTTAAAACCACACTAAACACTATGTATTTACGTATCGATCTATACTGTACAACGATTCAGTCTCCCTTTATATCTTTAATTTTCAGACAATATTCGATTTATTGGAGACTGTTAAAAGAGTAAACACTAAACACTATGTATTTACGTATTGATCTATACTGTACTACGATTTAGTCTACAATATATCTATTGGTTGCGCATAAGCGAAGTTGCCGGAATAAAACTTATGAAAATATGTGAAAGTATTACGTATAGGTAACGTCTCTAAGGGAACAGTCTTGCGAAAAAATTATGAATCACTTAGCTACAAGCTCGTATACTTTTACGGTGCGTATAATCTAAAAAATTTTGAAAATATTGTACCACGACAACTACCTTAAGTGGCTGCTTATCGTTGTTAACATCACCAGAAATTACAATAAGAGGTGTTGTTTTAATTTGTCAATAGACACAATTTTCTTTTAATGAAGCATGATATTTTTATTCCAAAATAAAGTTAAAACATTGCCATTAAAGATGAAATACAATATCTGTCAAATGACCTCCTCGGCTTCTTTGGCAGGACCATTATTTTGCTAAAGTTTTGGATTACATTTTTACATAAATTGATTTCAATTTCGCCAATAGCCTGTTGAATATTTTCTTTTAAGTGTGGAATCGTGTGTGGATCGTTTTCGTAAACTTTGCTCTTTAAATAACCCCAAAGAAAAAGTCTAGCGGCGTTGAGTCGCATGATTTCGGTGGCCAATTGATGTCGCCGTTTTGTGAGATAACACGAGCAGGAAATTTAGACCGCACTAAAGCGATTGTTTCAACTGCTGTGTGACATGTGGTTCCATCTTGTTAATACCACATGTTTTCCACGTCAATGGCATCCAATTCGTTCCATAAAAAGTTTATCATTTTACGATAATGTTCACCGTTACCCCATTTGCGGCTGCATTTTCCCAAATAAGACAGTTATGTTTGTTTACAAATCCTCCACCCAATTAACAAATGTACAGCGCTGCTCATGGTCTGTTGGCTTTAGTTCTTGAGTTAACTGCACCTTATAAGCGTGTAAATGCAGATCTTTTGTTAAAATTGTGACCGGTGTCAAAGTCCCTGGATTTTTATTTATACTTTTCCTTACTCTGTCTTTCAGGTGCTTGAGCACTACGATGGCGTACAGGTGTTTTTAAATCTTTAATTGAACCAGTTTCCTTAAATTTATTAATTAAATTCTCAACTGCGGTGCGGCTTGGCCGATTATGTCGTCCAAAGTTTTTACGCAAATTGCGAATTGTTTGTGTAAAAAGTTTTCACAATAAGTATGCGTTATTCAACTGTGTAGCGTTCCATTACTATAATGGCATTGCTTGTAAATAATAAATATAATATACCGTAAAATTTGACAGGTCGTAACTTTTTTATTTAAAATTTTAAAAAATTGAGTTTGTGATGGAAACATGGGTCTTACCGACAAATATCGACTTCCACTTTCGGAATTCTTCCAGAGTCCAATATATCGCATATATATTTTTTTATTCGCCCCGTAGTCGGGGTTAATAGAATCGTCCATTAAAATATGGGCTTGATCTCATTGAAACCAGTCAGGGGCGAATCGGATCACAAATAAGATTAAAATAAGTTTTACCTAAGAAAACTCACTTTGTTTAAAGAAAAACGACATTAGCTAGAGAAAACAACATAATATAGAGAAAATATTTATGTTTTTAAACATAAAGTATAATAATTATTGTTAAACAAAAATAAACTTAAATTATCTATTACCTAAAAAAAATCACAGGAACATCAAAAATTATTACCTATACAACAGGAACATCAGCAATTAAAAAATTATTAAAATTAATAGTCCAACCACCTCAGTTACCGCCTAAATTTTAATATAAACCGGCGATTGTGGGTTTATACATTCCAAGTGGAAAAAGGTTACGTACACTGTAAAAAAATATTACATGAATATCCAGTGCAGTGCCATTAAAAGCAAGGTAGGCATTTTTATTAAAGTCAGTTATGCATTATGTTTCAATTTCTATCTACCTTTGCATTATGCCTTTCAATCTCTTCCCGAAATTAACGTGAAAAACTAGTTTCTATGCGAGTTTTACCAAAACTGTACAAAGCAAGTGCACAATTTAAGTGATTAGTAGACTGATCATGTTTTTTGTAGCATTTGTAAAATTATTTAAATTAGTGTAACCAGTCACATTTCAGCAATTGTGCCATATAGTATCTGTGATACAATTGCTGTGTGCAGTCCCGGTTGCATAGTATGTACCGATTGCGGCAAAGGCCACGTCGTTTGACGGTGTGGATCACCTGATGTTCTTACATCTCGCCTCTGTTGACTTAACAACCGAGCATATAAGCTGAGGGAGTAATTTGTTTTGATTGTGTTCCATTACACCAAGTTGCCCGACACTGATGAGACCCAATAAAGGTCGAAACAGCTGTCTGTCGGTATTTGAAGTTGGTGGAACGCATTCAAAACAAAAATCTTTGGCGAGGTGTAGGTTCAATTTTTTCTTATGAATATTACCAGTGATGGGTCAAGAAAGTTTCTTAAAGAAACTAATAAAATTGAATGTTTATCATAAATATTAATATTAAAATATTTTACTGTAGTTTTTTGTTGTTGAATTAATTTTAAATTTGGCGTTGGCCGTCCAATCTCGATCACTTTTTGTTTTTCACTAAATGTTTTACTGTAAAACGATATTTTTAATAACCTTTCAACACATCCATTTTTTAATAATTTTAGGTTATTAAAATATTAAAATTGACTTTATCAATCAGCTGATCGCCAGCCACACCCAAGAAAACGCTTCTTTCTCCCACCCACAATTGTGTGTGGATTTTCCCACCACCTACATAAAAGCATTGCTTTCAAACTGCTGTACGTGTGAATACGAAATAAAATGTTGTGCTTGATTAATCTATTCTATGCTATTCTTATACGTAAAACGAATCTGCCTTTCACCGTGATAGTAATTCACCTATAAATTGGTTAATAAATAAGTTATTAAATATTCAAAACCTACGTTATTAAATATTATTTATTATGTAGGTTTACCTACATTAAATTTAAAAAAATAAGTAAATTTTAATTATTCCAAGGTAGGCAATGCTTTTTTGCTTGTATTGTATGCACGCCACTGATCCATGGCACTAAGTAACTTATGTTAATTCATGTTATTTTTATAACCATATGTAAATTTACAGAATGATATGTGATATTACAAATTTTACTATTCGTGCCTTTCCTATATTTTACATAGAGCTTTATGTAATATTTTTTAAAATTACTTTAATATGTTGATTTTCTTATCATTAAGTATTTTGTTATCTAGTGGGAATGCCACTCTTTTCTTAAATTAAACCTGATGGGAATGCCATCATTTACAGTTCTTAGGATGGGATTGCCATCTATGTTTTATGTTTAGTGGGATTGCCATGTATATTTTATGTTTAGTGGGATTGCCATGTATATTTTATGTTTAGTGGGATTGCCAGGCATTTAGCATGGCAAACAATCGTGCTGATATTGGGACGAAAAGTCTAGGTATTTTTTCAGTTGTTGTAATAAGACCATTATTAATTGTATATTCTTTATACCTTGTAGGATGTTGTAAAATGTTTTGGCAAAATGGATCTAATTTTTGAAAATCTTGAATGGATTCACAAGGTATTTGAGACTGGTCGGTAGTTTTAACAAAGCCTATTACTTCGACTGGGTTACGGCTTAGATAGTCAACATGTTCCATTTTAGCTCCTGCTCTATACTCGATGTCAAAATCGTAATCTTGTAGTTTTACCCACCAACGAGCAACTCGTGGATGCAGGTATTTTTTTACTGCTGTTGCTCGAACAGAATTACAATCTGTAAACACCGTAAAGTGCCTTCCGTATAGGTATGTCCTAAAATGCTCAACAGCTTCTAGATCATATGAGTGGTATCTGGATTCACAGTCAGTTGTTCTTCTACTGTAGAATGCGATTGGGCGTATGACACCATTATCTTTTTGGAACAATGC